GGAGCTCTAAATATCATATTTTTAGAACCTAATACAGCTTACTTAGTAAGTATGATAAATTATAGTGGATTTCTGGGGCATTGATATATAATTAATGATTTTTGTTATTTCAAAATGCATATATAAAACCTAAATTTTGTTTTACATCCTCCACATGTGAAATATGACAAGGCTTAGCAAATTATGGGAAGCTAGTACAAATATGTTCTTATAGTTTTTTAAATAATTATACTTAAACAGATGCTTATAGTTCTTTATATACTGGTTCATAAACAGGTGTTTATAGTTCTTTATATACAGGCTATTAAAATGGTGCTTATAGTTCCATATAAAATGATTTTTAAACAGGTGTTTGTATTTCTTTATATACTGGTTCTTAAACAGATGCTTATAGTTCTTTATATACTGGTTCTTAAACAGGTGTTTATAGTTCTTTATATACAGGTTCTTAAATAGGTGCTTATAGTTCTTTATATATTGGTTCTTAAACAGGTGTTTATAGTTCTTTATATACAGATTCTTAAAAAGGTGCTTATAGTTCCTTATATACTGATTTTTAAACAGGTGTTTATAGTTCTTTATATACAGGTTCTTAAACAGGTGCTTAAAGTTCTTTATATACTGGTCCTTAAACAGGTATTTATAGTTCTTTATATACTGCTTCTTAAACAGGTGTTTATAGTTCTTTATATACAGATTCTTAAACAGGTGCTTAAAGTTCTATATATTTTCTAAAAATCCTTAGTTCCTGAGAATGAAAACAAAACCATACTAAACAGTGCAAAGTTCTTTATATTTCTGATAGTAATCATGGGATATATTTATTATACTCTGATTAGTATAACAAGTAACTATTAAGATGAAAACCCATGAAACCACAACTCACCTGTAGAGTTTAAAATACATTTCTCTTTCTGTGTGTTACCATCTCAAAAATTATCTCACATAAACACAAATTTTATGACATGAACATAGCACTCTTAAAATTAATTCTTAGATATTGACACTCTTTTGGCAACTACAATGATTATAAGAAACATATCATTCCTGAAGAAAAACTACCAATGCCATAACCCAATCTCCAATAATAACACAGAACAAGATCTTTTGATAAAGGTAGGTCAGTCAGTATATTTAGAAATCTGATGCAACCATGGAAAACTTTACTCATCTTCATTAATAAAGGACAGGAATTATCAGTTGTAAGCATATTTACATAGGGAATACTTGTCAGTTCTTATACATGAGATGAGTTATTTAGCAAGCTAAATGTCTTGTGTAATGTGAGTCTTAGCTGCAACTATATACAACAGAAAATTAATCCTTTTTGTAAACCTAAAGCAAGAATACATCAACCACAACTTAATGACTAAACATATATGTTGTCTTTTCAACTGATCACAACTTAATGACTAAGCATGTATGTTATCTTTTCAACTGATCACAACTTAATGACTAAGCATGTATGTTATCTTTTCAACTGATCACAACTTAATGACTAAACATGTATGTTCTGTCTTTTCAACTAAATATTATGATACAAACTATGCATGACTGTACCAGCAATAATGTCCTGTATTGTTTTGTTATCAGACTTCATCATTTTTAACAAACTGTTATATCACAAGCAACTGATTTTAGCTTAAAAACCACATATGCTTTCATCTATTATCAGCTTTCAACAATAACTTTAATGTAGAATAATTTCAACAATACCTATACTTTCTAGTATCAACAACAATACTCAAGTTCAAATTGATATGTAAATAACACCATCTTTCTGAATCCAACATTGTAAATCTGTAAGTTAAAAGCTAGATTATTACATCATACAATATATATATATATATCATACTTTAATATAACATTAATATTAATTAGCAAAAAATGTATCAAGTGATTAACATATATTAAAACTATCTTTTGAAACATCTGTTCTTTCAGTCTAAACTTTATACGATTTCAAACATATTTTGCTCTTTCCTCCTTTCAAGTTAAAAAGCACTATAAACTGACAATACTTTGTTTACACAAAACTTAAGAACAATAACTCAACAAAGCAACTGGTTTCTAATTTTCTTGTCTACTATAGCACATATAACAGCTGAAAATAAAACTATGCCCAATTATACAATAAAAAATGTTTCTAGTGTTGGCTGAGCCACAAAGTCTCATAGTGTTCCACTTACTGTTTCACTTTATCAGGAATGCAAACACTGTCCACTGGAATTATGATGGAAAGATCTTTTAGGCTATGCACAAACTCCAGCTTCCTACTGAATTTAGAGCTGGAATTAAGAAGGTTACAAATTGTGTGATATATATAGAATAATGAACTTTTATTAGTCTGTATGAAAAAAAAAACAATTCTGAAAATTTCTTTAAAATTTTGGTGTATTTTACCGTGTAAAATCAAGTTGGATATTTTACTAAAAATTTGGCCGAACAAAAATTATGAAACATAATCGAAAAAAGCAAATAAAGAGCAATAGTAATAATTAATAAACAGTTTAACTACATTAGTTGAGTTGATTTCAGCACAACTTTCAGATTTTCAATCAGATAACAGGAAGCATGGAAACAGTAATAACTTGCAGAGTATGTGATGAACACAAAAAATGAAAAAAATGAACATGCAATATGTACCATGTTTGTCATCTTTGTGATCTGTTACCCTGATGCACTGTACTTACGATACATATTAACTACAATAGAAAGTGTAAAATTAGTCAGTTGTCACATCACTAATAATAATAAAAAAAAGGTGCAGCCACATCAGGGCCAAGTTTATCACAGTGTCAGATCTTAAGAAGTAGGATAGAGAAATGGTCCTGTTGATGTTACTGTCTTTGAAAACAACACTCTACTGTGATCCTTTATTAAGTCGGAAGCTTAAAGTATTTGAATGTTTGTTAGAACTCCACTCTAACCTACATTTTACATTTAAAGACAGCTAGATAAAGAGACCAAAGTAATACCAACTACTGTAAGGTAAAAGGTATATTAGGTTACGTTTGTCACATTTTATAGTATTTTGAATATAACATTTTTTTTCACTTAGATCAGTAAGTAAAAGGTTTTGGGTACCTGATAAATGGTTTGATCATAAGGACAAGAGCTTTTACCCAAAACGTGGGATGAACAATGTACAATCTCTTCAAATTTTTTCTCAATCTACGAGGAAGAAAAAATATATATTCCTGTAAACTTATTACAGTATAGCACTCCATGCAACTGTGAGCCAATCAATGTAATTTTATATAAAAACTTCATTATACCATAAAAACAGTACATTTGTTCAGTGTTAGCATTAGTACAAAATTTTACATCATAGGTGTATAAAAACCAAACAGTTTGGAAGCAGGCATCAGTATGATGCAATATTCTTTCATTTTATTAGAAATATACTCTATGCTAAAATTCAACATAAAATAATAAAAATTGAAGTATGTAAAAGAAATAAATCCTTCAGAACTCAATTTCACAGTAAAATCTGCTAAAATACAGAGTAATGTCACTAGGAAGATTGAAGTTAAAGAAGGACACTTGATATAATTCTCATATCATGACCATGTGAACTAGAAGTCTCTTTGTAAATAAAATTAGTCTTATTGATGGTATGACCAAACAGGTTTTTCGTGAAATACTTTTTGATAATCAACACTAGTTTTATAAACACATCTGATTCATTTTCACTTTAGTTCTTAGATTCCTAACATGAACCCTGATTTATCCTTACAATTTACCTTGAGAATTTATGTTTGCTGAAATCCTAGTAGTAATATGATTCAGATCTTTAACTGATAACAAAATATCAACTTCAACAAAGAAATCTCAGTTACTCTAGCTGTAAATAGTTATAAAGAATGTCTGAAGACTGCACAAACATTATTTGAAATATTATTCAGAAAGAATTTATTTTATTTGTTCAAATCCTAAGTATCATAAAATGTACCAATCATTATTACAAATAACTACAAATGTATTTTTAGATTAATTAAAAATAGTTGTATTAAGTATATTTTCAAAATATACAGACATATATAAACACAAAGCAGCTGTATGTTACTTTAAATAAACACACATCACTTGTCTATGAAACATGGTTCATAATACAAATCATATCACTCACTTTCTGTCAATCATATAGTAGCATCTCTTTAACCAGCCAAATGTTGGCAAGTTGTTACGCTGAGTTGCTCCATGAAGATAGATGAGAACATAGTCCTCAGCAACAAGTTCATCCAAGGTTGTTACCAAGTACCTAAACAACAACAAGGTCCATCTAAGTTTGTTACCAAGAAACTAAACAATAACAAAGTCCATCTAAGTTTGTTACCAAGTGCCTAAACAATAACAAAGTCCATCCAAGTTTGTTACCAAGTACCTAAACAATAACAAAGTCAATCTAAGTTTGTTACCAAGTACCTAAACAATAACAAAGTCCATCCAAGTTTGTTACCAAGTTCCTAAACAATAACAAAGTCCATCCAAGATTATCACCGAGCATCTGAATAATGATACAACTTTATACATGGTTGTTACCATGGATCTGAGCAATAATATATGTTTATCCAAGGGTTCTATTAAATACCTGAACAATGATACATGTTCATTCATAATTGTTATTAAGTGCCTGAAAAATTAAAATAAGTTCATTGAATATTTTTACTTAGTGCCTGAACATCAATATAAATTCATCCAAAGTCGTTATCAAGTATCTGAACTATAATACCTACAAGTTCATTCAGCATTTTACTAAGTGCTTGATTAATAATAAGAATTCTTAAAAATATTAGGTCGTCAAAAAATTAATGTTGCTTGTTTCTAGATGAAAAAATCCAAACAACTTATATATCAAAACAAAACATTTATTAAATGAAACAGTTTCTATTCTTATCAATGATGCTTTTCCATCTTACAATCAGGTTGTTAATGTTCTGATTTAAGAAATCACTTGGCTTTTAAGCATAAGACATATTGATGTCCTCTTTAACACCTTCCACATTTGCACACGTTTTCTCATTAAGATGGTGCTGCAGCGAATGAAAAAGATGGTAATCTGAATGTGCCATATCTTTCCAATTGACAAGTGAAGGGTGTTTCTGATGAAGGGCTTGATTTAAATATTCTAGCTGCTGACTATAATCTCTGCATTGACATTTCACTGTGGATTGAGGAGTTCAAAATGAATTACTCCTTTGATGTCCCACCAAATGCAAAGCTTCACTTTCTGCAGATGGAGTCCAGGTTTTTGGGTTGGAAGAGGTTTTTATCTAGGACTGAGCCATTATTTTTGGCATTTAATATTCGCATAGAGAATCCATTTTTCATCACCAATGACAATTCTGTTCAAAAATGGTTCAAGCACATCACGTGCCAGAAGAGATGAAGCAACATTCACCGTTGGAAACTACGATCATCGGAGTGTTCATGAGGCACCCAAACACCTTCTTTATGGAGTTTTCCCATATTCTTAGATGTTTACGTATTGTTTCATGAGAGACATGCAATTTCACGAGTGTGTTGCCTTGGGTTAGACTCGACAAGCATCTTCAGAACATCAATATTAATTCCAACATGTCGGCCCCTGCCATCACAGTTTTTAAGGCTAAACTCACTTGGAAGAAATTTGCTGAACCATTGTTGACACTTACAAACGTTCAAAACATTTCCATAGACTTCTTTGATATTCTTTGTGGCTACAGAGGCATTGTTCCTCTTTTTGTATTCAAACAGCATTACATGCCGAATGTGTTTCGTCATGTGTCACCACTATAATGGATTAGAATATACTAAACTTTACACATTATATAAGCTACACTAACATGACGTTTAGACGGTTCATTTAACTATTATATGTGATGTACATTTTTGGGGAGCTGGTTAATGAAAGTGTTCCAAAACGTGACATTAATTTCTTGATGACCTAACAGTATCTCTCCAACCAAAGTTCATAGGTACTGTACAGAATGTCAGGATTATAAAGTCAACCATAAACTTTAGTTCAAACTTTTATGCATATTTCAAAGGTTCTGGGTAAATAATTCTTCTTTACATTTTTGTTAGTTTGCATTAGATTAGAGAACAATCAATATCAATTAACTCACTTATAATAAGCACATTTATTAGGCTCATGAAACCTGAAAAATAACACCAAAAAACATTCAAACAATACAATGTGTTTGTATGTTATAGTAGATGCAAAGTTCTCTTTTGTATATTAGGCTCATGAAACCTGAAAAAATCTTTAAAAATATGACATGTGTTGAAAAAGATCCAAAGATCTCTTTCCTACTGAAAAGCTTCATCTTTGACGAAACTTTTTAACCTAACTTTACAATACTTTAATACCCAAAAATAAAATGAAAAAGAAACATATATAAAAGTTTTGGAATGGACCAGAAATTATATGTACATACTGTGAATCTAATTCATAAACAAGCTTCATCTGTAAAATGAATAACAAAATAAATAACTGTGTGTTAGTCAGGTTCCTGCAATTTATAACTGAGGTAAAACATTGATCCTGAACTTACATAAACAAGTTGTCCATTACATAGCTGTAATCCTGCCGACTATGGTCTGGAAGGTAGCAAGCACTAAATACAATGATAGCATTTCTGGAGGGCCCAAAATACCCTATTGTAAGAAAGAAGAAGAGGTGTAAAACAATTACTGTAAGCAAGAAACTCCTATATATTAAACTAACCTGGAAAATATGAATACTTTAGCCAGACTACTCATTCCCACATTTTGAAATTCTTTAAATTATATATATATATATATATTTAATTTTTTACAGCATATAAAATCTGAAATCAAGAATTTCATCCCACATGTAAATATCATCGTTCACAAACACAGAAAGCTAAAATCATCTATTTTTGACCAAATTTTACACATGGGCTTTAAGAAAACAATGGGCAAAGCAACAGCCCATAATAGCCTAAATGTTTTAAAATATGAACTAAACTTTCCTTCTCAACAACTTTAGAATGAAAAACATTGATAAAACAAACTCTGAAGTTCCATGTTTACTCTTAGACAATATAAACCATAAGGTTCTGTAGGTATTAATACACAAAAAAATAATTAGTAATTTAAAACTACCTTAGCATTTATAAAGAAATCTTGGAAATTAAGAGCAATATGAAAGTGATATTTAAGAATGACAGAATATTTCATAAAGAGTACTTATAAAAGAAATGTTCAGGCTGGACTAAACATTACTAACTACAATCTGGTTTATACATTATTAGATACAATTTGGACTACACATTATTAGCTGTAGAATTGAAAACACATTATTAGCTACAATCTGAATTACAGATTACTCGTTACAGTCTGGACTACACATTACTAGCTACAGTCTAGACTAAATATTATCAGCTAGTGTGTGAACTACACATCACCAGATAAAGCCTGGAGTAAACATTACTAGCTATAATCTGGACTAAACATTGACAGCTACAGTCTCTATTACATATAACTAACTAAAGCTCCATTTCATAAGCTGAAATTTAGGCACACGGAAGTTGGTAAATTTCTGTGACATGAAGAGTTCATCATTATGAATATTTACCTCCATGAGATAAAACATTCTTGTAAGGTTGTATAACTTTCATGTCAATCTTCTTCTCAATGCCACCTATCCAACAGCTACGCCATCGCCGTTCCTCTTCAAGCTCCTCTGCAGCAGAAATTTCAGGAATTGGATCTATAATTTTAGTTTCTTTTTCTTCATCTAAACAATAATAAAAAAATATCAGCATGAATGGTATACATTTTTTAGAAGTATGATTGCATATAAGTTCAAATTGAAAGATGATTCAGTGACCAATTTAGCCATGTGCTAATAATTTTTATTTTTCTTGGAACTTGAAATAAATTAGTCTTTTTTAGAAATAGACCAAAGAACAGAAAATACAATAAATATTATTTCAATAACAAGAAAATATTTAATGAGTATAATGTAAAAACCAAAGAAAAAAATAATGTCCCTGAATTAGTCCAAAGGTAGTGATAATTTATGTTAAATATTCAAAAATAATATTAATATTTCATAGTTTTGAAGTGTAGTTCAAGTCAAATGCATATTTAACCAGAAACTGTTAAATTGAGCTGATAGATTAATTGGACTTATCTGACTCGACAACAAGCAGATTTACCCCACAGCGTCACAAAACTTTTTTTCATAGTGCGACAATCGGGATACTCACACATCCTTGAATTTCCCACCTTAATACTGTGTGTGCATATATCACCAAGCAAAAGCAGAACTAGTGGATTTTGATATTGAAAAAGCACTAAAAAAGGTTGATTTATAAAATTCATTTGTTAGTGGATAATTGACACTTTTCAAGAAACCACCTGAAATTTAATTATGCACTCAATGGGTTAAATCCTCTGAATGGTAATGAGTTAGTAGTTTTTTCTGGAAAATAATTTATATTTCTTGATGACATGTGAAAAAATTAAGTTGTACAATATGCTATCAGATAAAAAAAAATACACATTTAAAATCAAAACATAAATTATCAAATTTTCTTTATAATCTAACACTAAATATGGTGAAATTTGCCCATAATCTCATTATCAGACCATATGCTACATTTAACAACAACTATAATCATTGTATTTATTATTATGATGCATATCATGATACATATTCTACTGGGATTTATATAATGTAATATAACCATCTTCAAATTAATGCCTGCCTCGAAAAATGTTAACCCTATCCAATCGTGCTCGGACAATTTGACTGACATTGTAACCACCATAAAACAAAACTATACATAAAATCTGAATGTACTAAATATAAATTCAATAAATTTGGTAAGCTTTTAGCATAAATTACAAATTTATTGTACATAAAAAAAAAAAAGTCTTTAATAAAGTATTTTTATTGAAGATTTGTCTGTGAACTTATGATGCCTTTAGTGATCAATTTGATTTTCATGTTAAGAATAAGAAAAAATTCTTTCATCTTAAAGTTTTCCTATCTAATTTGCATAACACTTACAATCCCTTGAATAAATATCAAAAATATTCTGTCCTAACATTAACTGCAGTTAAAGTATTAATGTGCAGTGAAATAAAAATTTGAAAATGATGGTTACTTTTTTTCTTCTTCTTCTCTGAATTCATCATTTGTTGTTACATCTTCAATATACGATTATCACAATTTCAACTGTCAGCCTTTTCGTATCAATTTTAATTTTATGGTTTTAATGCTGGCTTGTATCTTATGAGCATTTTATTTTTCCTTGAATGCCAACATAACAAAAATGAATCAAATTACCGTACACTTACGCACTACACGGGAAAAAACTGTGCACTCGATTGCATATTGAAATAAGCCTTCTCTAAGTTTTTCTCCAAACAAAATTTGTCTCTCTTTCACATATGCATTTCAGAATGAAGGAATATTTCAGTCACCAGAACTGAATGTCCTAAATTACTATCATTTAATTGGCTTTCTAACTAAGCTATAAATAGGGTAAAAATTTCTGTTAGTGCTATGAACAACCACTCTGTTAACACACACACACACCAATTACTTTCGACTAACATCTATTGCAAACAAATTCAAAAGGAATGCTGCAAGCATGAAATAAAAAAATTAAACTCTACATTTGTTATAAATATGTGCGTCAAATAAAACCATGTTTTTGAAAGTTTAAGATTGATGGGAAGAACTTCTGTTGGAAAATCTATTGGTATCTCAAGCAAATGGAAAAGTTGTGAAAATTGTCCATTTGTCCTTTTCATTATTTATAGTTTGTTTATAGATACTGTAGAAGCTATAGTAATGAAGTTATACAAACTAAAATGGAAAAACAAGAATGCACACATCATGTGACAAGAATCAACTAATCAAGTTTTGAATGTAACTCTGTAAAATGTAGCAACTTGCAATAGACTGACACCTGTGCTGAAAGTGTTAAAATACAAATCTAATTTTATTTTTATTGAAAGGACAGCAAGACTGTAATATAACAAATGAATATCTGGTAACATCTTTATGAATAAAATTCAGCATGTATATACATTACCTTCGAATATATTTTCATCCAAGTCATCAGGTGTTTCAAGGTCATCCACTGGGGACATTGGATCAATGTCACTCTTATTACTGGTGGATGAAAAACTCTTCTGGTCCTCATCATTCCCAGCTATAAGGTCCAGGTAACGGAATGCAATTTTTTTCCTTTTGAAGGTGTTATCATCAAATGTCAAGCTTGATGGTCGATCTGAAAGTACAAAATCTTGTCCATTTTGTCAGGCAATCATAAGTACTGCACACAGTGGGGAAAACAGTTTTAACATAACATGGTAAATGTTTATAATTATTTATTCATTGTTTATGTCTTATAGAAGTTGATGATCATGTACTTTTATTTTAAATTTGTATACACTGTAAATACACAGATGTTTGGAAGTTTTCTGCATGAAATAACATAAACTACAAAGTATCATTTCTCCACTGTCAACATCTTTACAGTAAATAAATAAATAGCCTAATCTGCTTTAAACACAGTGCATGTTTAATAGGTGTTAAATGCATGCTTTATGAGCATGTTAGTTAAATTATCCCTCTCACATAATACTGTTCCAAAAGAGTAAAGAAGTAAACACAAAAATACCAAGGAACTTGACTGAAAGAAATCCACCACCACCATTACAGACAAAAGTCTTAATTCCTGTGGAACTCAACAAACCTGACTGTCCTGTTCCATGATAGGTGTCTGCTTCTTCACAATGACCACTCTCTTTCAAACTTGTGCTACTACCAGTTATTCTTTCTTCAGCATCATTACCAGCTTCTAAGTTAGAGTTCAGCCCACTTTTAAATCCTTCTTCTCCAGAACTACATCTATAATTATCTTTCACATTTTCTTCTTCACATAAATTCAAACCTGTATTAGCTTCATTTGCATCTTTAGAACCTGCATTGTAGGTTTCATTATTTGCATTTGAGGTCACTAGTGAAGAAGTTATACTTCCATCAGGATTGACAATGGTTACTTTAGAACTGTGGTGCTTTCTTTCTTTCATAGCATTTTCTTCCAGTAGACCAACCTTCAGAACAAGAGATGTTTTTGGAACTTTATTCTTACTATAGTAGTTTACTGGAAGAGGACTATCTTCTTCATTATATTTACTATTATTCTCCTCTTTAAAGAACTGGTACTTATCTGTTGAAGACGAAGTGTCTTTTTTTAAGGAACCTTGTTCACTGGAAGATTGAATAGAATTATCTCTTTCTGATAAATCTTTTAAAGAAAAATGTTTATCTTTGATCAAATTTTGGCAATCAGGTATTTCATCTGGAGGAAAAACAGGGTTATTTTTGTCATTAACAAAACACGTTTCTTTTGAAACTTCCATATTTTCTAATCCAACATTTAAATTAACATTCTTAACTTCAGTTGTATCTTGAACTACAGCATTGTTTAATTCTTCACCACTGGATTTTTCATTGAAATTTCCAGAAATCATCTCAGAATGGGCCAAAGAGAGAACCTCAAATACTTCATCCTTAATAAATTTACAATAAACACTGGTGTGTGACAGAATCTCTTCAATTTCCACTGGGCTGAGAATATCTTGTAAGCGGCCACTTAACGTATAAATATCCTTGATTCGTTCTTGATCAAAACATGTTTTTAGTTTCTGTAAAAGACACACATCTGGGGCTTCATCTCCAGGTATTCCTTCTGATACAAGGCTATCAAAGGTTTCTTCACTAATAGTGAAAACATCATATGGACTTGTGGATTTTATTCTGTTACAAATTGGATCCTCACACAGTGGTGTAGAAGAAGTTGGGTTTTGATGGTGATTATGGACCATTTCTGGCACAAAAGGTGAGTCAAAAGACAGTCCTGAAATCTCTGTAGACAAGCTTTGATCCAAGCCCAGCGTGTCATTGGAAAAACTCTGATCTGTTGATGGCATGTCACTTATACTGGGAAACATGTCAAAAGCCTCAGACTGGGAATTAATATGGCGAGGTTGCATTTCTTTGGAACCAAAAAAGTTTAGACTACCTGGTCCAGAATCCTTATGTTCTATACTGTAGGGAGGTGTACTTATGTGTGATGTCATTAAATTATCTTCAAAGTATTCCTCTGTGTTCAGTGAAAATCCCTCACAATAGGTACTATCCTCAGTCATAAGTGAAGAGTCTTCTGAAAAACAGTAGCATGCAGTATAGAACATACTAAATAAAATCACGGCAAAAGTTTCAACATGCATAACATAAAGAATTAAATTAAAGAGCAGTGTGCATATCAACAAAGAACACTTCAAATACAGACTAACATGCATAAAAACATCAAATAATCAAATCGGAGCTAAAAATGTGGAAACCAACAAAATAATTATATAGAAATTTAACATGCACAACAACAAAAATAAAACATTTTACCAACACTCAACATGTACAACACAAAAAATATTCATATAAGCCACTTAAGAAATCTGAGCTTTCACAGAAATAAAAGAAGTGAAATAAAAACTGTCCTACACAGCAGATGAATTTGCAAATCTCAAAAGATAAGAAATTTGTTTTATGCAAAATTTATATATATATGAGCAGTAATGAATCCAAATTTTTTAGATACAAGATGATCTAACAATAACATGCATTATATAGATCAATTAGTCTAAGAATGGTATGTATTTTACACATCAGATAATCCTTCAATAACATACATTGTATACATAAGATAATCATTGAATAACATGTAATGTATACATTTTAGGGATTTTTCTGCTATTTTTAAACCAGTGCCTTCTAAATTGGGAATTTTTACATCATTCCACTGATAATTGAAAAATCTGGTAGAAATAAAACAAAGCTGAAAGCAGAAGAACACAGTTATGGTTCACTGCTTGTAATTATAATCACAATTTTTGTCTTTTCTATCAATGAGCACAACAGAAAACTTACTTAAGTTTGTATTGTTCTATGCTTTATCCAATTGTTCATATATGTTTATTTAGCTTGTAAAAGTACATCATCTGAATGATGCTTGCTCTCAACATGTTTTCTTAGCTTTAGCACCAGTTCCTAAAAACGATGTTATTAAACAATCCAAAGTATGTTCTAAGTCTTATACACATTCCATTGGAATCAAGAATCATTCTGTTCATTTTGAAAGAGTGTGAAATGCCTTGCATTGTCTAGTTTGATGGACTGTTAACTGGCGTACCTATACTACTTAAAGCTTGTGGAACTTGTAGAAGTATTGAGTCTGACATGCAGATCAACATGGTATTGACAGACCCAGTTATCGAGTCAGTATTATCATTGATAACATTACAATTGCCACTTCAATCATTTTGTTATTTGGTTTAAACTGAAACCTAATTCTAAAAACTAAGTAACACTTTTGTTTCTTTCATATCTTATTTGTGTTATACTTACTGTTGTGAGAAATTTTTTACTACATACTTCGTATGCTGTAAAACATTCTACTCTCACAAACACCACTCAACTTGTATATTATGTAAAATGTAATACTGGTAGAAATGTATAAAATGAAAAAGTTTCTTACCGTTACAAGCATTATACATATATGTACTAGATAATCTAAGAATAATAAGCACCGTGCATACATACATATGCAAACATGCACCACAAACACACAGTCCTCAAATATATATAAAATAAATTTTCCAAGTCAACTAATGCACTTTGTCCTAATTCAGTTATTAGTATTGTATTGCATTAATAGTATTGTATATTTCAACTAAATAAAGTATACCTCTGTCCCAGTAAGTAGTGAGAGAAAAGACATTAGACATTCAAAGAAATATCATTGTTGAAGAAAAAATAAGTATCAATTTTTTTTAGGAGCTAAATACAAGTTATTGTGAAACCTTCACAAAATGTTATCAGTAAACAACAAGAATAATAAAATCATACATATTGTAGTTGAAAAGAAATACATATTTTAGCAATGTTAGTGAATCAATTAACAGACACTATTGAAAAGTAAGTAAGTGTTTAAATATTTAAATTCAACACTACCGTTTCTGGAGTTTTCTGACCCTAACATCTTTACCTCCTCCTCATCATCCTGTGAAGAAATATTTATTACAAATTTACTATGCTGAGAGTTACAAAAACTCTGTTTAAAAAGTAAAGTTTCTCAATTTTATTTGTAGGTATGGTAAGTTTAGTAGATTGATTTTTACAGTAACAAATATGGGTGTCTACAGCATTTCTTATTTCTTACAATACATTTCACCCAAAGAAAAACAAAGTTTTAAACTTGAAAATATTTTATTTATGACTTTAACTGTTTCCTTGATATTAACCATTATAAGTCAAATAGAGCTGGTATAAGCACATGAAAAATGTTAGTTAAATGAAAACATCTTGAAAATTTTAGAATACAAAAAGTCACAAAATAAATTAACACAGATAATAAAATAAAACCTAGTTATTCATAAATGCAGTTTGTATAATAAAAAACCTAAAAGATGAGATTACTGGTTTAGAACCAATACTAGGTATCATTTTAGGTCCAATTTTTTGTTTTATTCACTAACATTTGTTTAGACTTGCATGGGTGAATTAACAATAATTATTATAAGAAATAAATACAACGTGTGATTCCAGTGAGTCGAAAATGTCAAAAGTGACAAAGAGCCTTAACTATTAGCCAACACAATGACATCAAGAAAAACTTAAGTTTTAGATTTATGGTATTAGAATTACTTAAGGAAACAGGGAATACAATGCAAATACTATGGAATTTCTACCCTTCTACAGTATGGAAATGAGTACTGTGACATAACAATACTTTACACTGTGTTTATCCAACAAACTAGACAGCACTATAAAAGCATAATGCCTACAAAAGTACAAGCACTCCTACTATTCCCAGCAGTACTGTGGCAAGTGAACTCATGGCTCTCAGACAGATATCCCACATAGCATATATGTTAACATTTTCTTAAATCGAAAATGTATTTCCAACAATACTTATCTCCACTCACAATTATAGCTATTATTCGATTGCTAAGGTTTTGTCCTTTGCCCATCTAAGCATTGGTCTGATTTTTTCTTGCTTGCTCTAGTCTTTTATATCCCACTCAATTGGTCTTGGCGATATTTGTCTCGTGATACTCTCCATCTACGTCAATGCACCCTCTATCTTGGTACTGTATAAAAGCACCTCATTCAGATAAGGTTATCACTTTTTTGAGACTGACTCCATCCTAGTCTCTAACACTGGCTCTTAGTGGAGAGGAAGGATGGGAGAAAGCGAGGTGAGGTAAGTATTATTAGAAATAACTTTTCAAATTAAGAAAATGCTAACTTCCAAAACATACCTCCACTTACACTACAGGTAGAATTGCACATTGAGGGCATTATCCATACAGAAAGTGTCTGCACACATCATGGATGTGTCAATAGAAGATTAGCACCCCAGTGGGGAAACCCCACTACATCCAAACAGGTATGATCTTCACCCAGAACTTAATTCATTTAATGTGGTGGAATTTTACATGATTTATCATGACTACTGGTCAGGCCCCAACCGGATAGCTGAAGTTCCACTGCTTGGGATTGGAATTATAGGGCCATGGTCCCTATATCCCACATTGGTGACTAGGGGAATTGGACCTCAATATATATATATATACTTATTAGTGGATCTTAGTCTATAGTCATAGAGTGATGAATTCCAAGCTACTAGAATCATGATGAGAAGGTAAGCAACACCGAAATGGACAAACCTTCTCCTCAACCTGAAGAAGACCAAAAGGCAACACCCCAGGCTTGGAATGAGGGGATCTTGTATGCTTTACTCAACCGGTGGAAACAGAACTTATCCAGTCTGGAATTACGAACACTCATCCTCACTCCCCAACCGTGTGGACATGGTAAATTCCTCCTGTCCCTGGAATTATGGGGAGGATGTGGAACAAACTGTGCTCAATCAAGGAACCAGGATGGGAACACACTGCATTCAGAATTACAAGGAAACAATGGACCCTCTTCTATGAACAATGTACTGAACCAATATTGATAAAAAAAAAGGGACATGCTAAACCCAACCTGATAGTCGAGTGTCAAATCTGAACCAGTATTACAAGTAGGCTCCTGCTTCTCCTACTAACATCTGGGAAAAACATCCAGGGACCCGAGTAGGAGGGCCCACAACTTTGCCCACTTCTCCATGAGTGGAGGAAATTCACTCTAACACACTGGAAGAAAAGCCTCTGTCCACCACCCCAGTGACTGGAAACCAGGTATGGTAAGGACTCCTTGGCTCCACTAGTAGAACCTGAGGGGGTAATGCACATTGTGAAGTCCTGAGAAACAGTGCTCTGGAAACAGTGCAATAGGTGAACCACGTTCTCTAAATATTTAAAAGCAAACTGACCCCAATTTATTCAATCCAATGATTGGTAGAGATGGGCAGGATCCCCTTATGCTTTACTCATGATAGTCCATGAGTCAGCCTCTAGGTGGTCTTATGGAACACCTCATTTCTTGAGAGCCTGTTGCAACCTGTATAAAGTATATTGAATTAGTGGTTGCTAGTGTGGAATTGGTTTGATCAAAACACACCTGCTTGGGCAACACTTGCTACAGAATATGATCCAACAAAAATGAGGTAAAGGACCCAGAAAAGTAAAGAAGAGCCAAGCGTAGCAATGAAAATACTCATCCCTCTGTATAATCTAGTGTAAGTGGTTAAGATAGCTACAGGGGGTAATACAAAACCCTCAGATGGAGATAGTGCCAGATAATGCAAATGATGTGAGATAAAAGTATTGGGGGAAGTCCAGATACTGGTCCATACAATGTCCTCCAGCAGGAAATTCAACCAGGCCACTAAGAACATAGATTCTGAGTCCAGAATAAGCAATATGGATCAATTTCGTACCCACCTTGTCAATGTACCCGGGAATAAATTCTGGGAAACTGAATGATTCCATTGAATAAAAAGTCATGGTCTAGCATCTCTAAAGGCATTAGTGCAGGCAACTAAACCTTCAAGACCCTCACTGGACATAACAATGATCAAAATCTGATTAGTCATAGAAGTGAGAAATAGTGATCAGATGAATCGGTGAAAAGGATGTATGTAGAAAGATAAGGCGTCCTGTGGACAATCTGTGCAAACCACTCTGATTGGCGATATCTGTAGGTTAATAGCAACAAAAAATGAACCTTCAGGTAAAGGTGATACATGGCATATGAGACTAAGATCACAAACAGGTGTTGAGAAATGGGCATGTAATGTAACTTTAATATACCAGTTAAGTAAGTGGAATAGTCGTTTGGAACAAAAGACCCAAAGCAACTTGAGGAATCCAGAGAGCACTGGGGACTTGAAGAATTTTTGTCTTGAGTATCAAACATTAGTCAATAAGGCTGTCTTATAAGGGCAATTGTGGACGATGCAAACCCTTGCCAAAGAGCCAGGTCAAAAAAAAAAAAAAGAGTTATCTTTGGAACTTCTGATCAAAGTGGGTTCAACCTCCTCTCAATACACCATTGCTGATATGGTTGTCATTTCCATTGATAAATGCCCATCCCGGGACTATGTAAAGACTGAGACAGATATATGGCAACCTTAGAAATTAAACCCCAATGCCATGTGAAGTTTGAGTTATTGGATAGCCAGATGTACCATGTCAGATCATGGCTGCCTCCACAGATATGGCCAAAGAGGTCACTCCTGAAGGTACTGCAAAAGCAGAAACCATGGTGTAGCTGCCAATCTGGTGCTATCAACAGGATCTGACAATGGGTTGGAACAAATCATAGTTAGTACCTTGGGTACCATATGCCAAAGCCCAAAGGAGAGGTACTGGAGACCAAGTTGCCAGTAGTTGGTTGTTCCAATGATCAGCCAACCCACCAATCATCAGTGCTTCAAAATGAGAACAAATCCAACAGAACTTTGCAATGCAGCATCTATTCTGTTGGGAGAATCTGTTTGGGTTAAAACAATTGTTAAAACAATTGATTTGATACCATAGTCATCACCCGTGGAACTAGGAAAGCTAGTAGGGTGATATGATAGAAGTGGTCCCAAGAAAGGAGATTAAATATTCAAAAACAAGGAGCCCTGGATGGGAAATGCAAGACACCAATGAGGAATTGTCAGAGTGAAGCCGGATGATTTTCCTCATAATTAGCCCAAACCATGATGCCTCGCCTTTTGAAGAACAAGAAGGACTACAAGATTGTGTATGGAAGCTTCATCATCCATCTGTAGACCCTAGAATTTCTTACTGTTGGGAAATGCACCCCATCCCTGAAGTGAGGCATTTGTGAAGAGATGGATCACTGGATGAGGTGGCAGCAGAGGAACCCAATCGTAGTAGTGTCCTAACTTAACAACCCCTTGAGATTGAAGAATGATCCAGAATAAGGAAACTGGGGAATCCGGTGAATCAATGTTTATGATCCCTTGGTTGCCTAAAGACCATTGAAAGGATTTCTTGTGCATTCCAAAGACATGAGGGATTCGAGTGATGCCCACATTCCCAATGAGAAAGAATCATCTGGGTAGTGGGAGAAGGAGAAGTGAGAAAGAGTCAGGCTTCCTGTTCCATAGCTTGGAGCCAAATGAGATATGTAATGGAAAAAAGTACACTCAGACTGACAACATACTGAGTTGGAGCAAGAATAGATGTCTCAGTTCTAAGAATAAAGCCTGCCTTGGTTCTTTCTTAAAGTAGAATCCAGGTGTGATGTTCTGACAATTGATGAGATGGTGCCAGCAGTAACCAGTCATCCATGGAATAGCATGTACACATGGTTAGGGAATGGAGTTGACAAGAAAAAGCTTGTATGATTTTGCAGAACTCATGTGGTGCCGATGCTAGTTTGAAGGTAAAAACCCTGAACTGCAGTATCTGACCCTTTGCACAAAAACATTAATAGTGGAGGCATACCACCACTATGGCAATGTATTGGTAGGAGCTGACTACAAATAACTTGGATATCCACAATCCTAGTAAAAAATGCCAACTCAAATTGAGGAATGATTCACTTGTGAACCTTGGAGAATCTAGGCATTGATATAGATGAGAAAGAGCGATGACTGGGCACCAATCTTAGGCCCAACAACAGATGGGAATAAAACCCTGGAAGAACTAGCACAATGCTCTCTCTACCCCCAGACCAACCAAACTATGATAGCCATAGAACTAAGTTCCAAAATATGAGAATATGTGGGAGACAGAAACCCTACAGGTTGAGTGGGTAGTGGTTGCAAAGATGAGAACAGAATGACTAATCCTGACTCAAGGACCTGTAGTGCCCATGGATCCATGGTTAAGGTTACCACACATCCAGAAATTCTCAGATCCAAAGCCCCCACAGACCCCAAAGGCATACAATAATCCCCTTTAGAAGCCGATGAAAGTCAAGGCTCCAATGATAACAGGGATGAATGTAGAAGCCAACAATCAGACTAATGTGCATGCTAACAATGGTTTCAGCTTGTCATCAAGGAAGCTGGTGATCCTGAGAGTCTTCCAACAAAGTTTAATGTTAGGAAAACAACATGGATTTTAGAGTTGCAAGTCTATAGACTTACCTCTGTCTTAAAACCTCTAATTTCAAGGAGCAGATGTATTATTTAAGAGTTGCAATATGCTTCAACATGGCGGTGGTAGAGTTAATCATGTAGTTCCAACAACCGTGGTGCATAAGGCACGGTTTTCCCTTCAAGTACCTGAGCAGTAACCTCACTGCATGAACCACAATGTCTGTAGATGGAGAGAAAACTAAATTTTTGCTCCCAGACCTTTCATCCATCAAGTAAGGTGCAGGCTCAACATCACACTCTCAATGAACCAACTGAAGAAAATAAATCAGAGGCAGATTATCCTTTTTTCAGATTATATTGTTCGAGAACCAGTCCTGGTTGGTTATTTTAGAGCAAAGCCACATGAGGCTACTCGTTGTGTCTACCACAGGGAATCAAACCACAGACCTCAGTGTTGCAAGTCTGCAAGCTTATCACTGTCCCACGGGAGGACTGAGAAGCCAACAGAAAAAAAAGGTGCAAGAAAAAGATTATGTGCCGCTAGATATCAGAGGTGGAATAGGAGAGATCTGATTGGCCTCTGTGCCGGAAATAATAATCTGGGAATTCACACTGTAAATCAACTTGCCAACTGAAAAAAAAAGTTTATTTTTTATGAAAATCAACTAGGTAACACAGAGAACACTTAAAGTATTTCTGAACGATCGTAGCACTGAGAAACCCATTAGTGACGCTTTGTCAAGAACAAGGGAGGTAACTCTAAAGAAAATATATGAATCTATTGCTGTTGATAATAAATAGCTGGGTCTATGCTCTTTATGTAATACATGACAAATGAGTAGAAATCTCAGCAAGTTATGTGGCTGTAAGGACAGGTTTAACTCCAGTGAAAATGGTAACCTGATGAAGGGCTGTTGCCTGAAATGTTGTTTCTTGTTTTATTATTAAAATTATTTTAATTTGGTGAGTTTTTCACCATTACTTTATATTAAGAAAAGAAAGTCAACATCACTATTCATTAGTGAGAGGGCAGAATTAAATGTCATGAAAGATAATTATATGTGCAGTTAATAATAAATCATCAAATCTTGCAAAATTATCTTCTTATTTCATCAATATTTTGTGTTCCAAACAATATGTTTGTAAGCTGCTCGTTCAGCAGCTGCATAAGCAAACTTATAATCTAATTAATACATTATTTTAAACTTTTATTTTATTGATAAATAACATCTATTACCCAGTACAGACATATCATAAATCTTCTAAAAAAAAATTTTCAAAAATGCCAAGAAATTTTTTACTTCTTAATTGCATCATTTTTCAATTGGAAAACTAAAACTGCAAATAAAAATCAAGCAAAGTCAAATTACCATATTATCCATACTCTCTTTAAACTTCTCTTTGACCAGGTTCAGATGTTGGGGGCTGTCAGGAAATTCCACAGTTTCTGAAGGGTAGATATATGGATGGATATCAAAATCATTTTTCTTATCCTTACTAATGGCAATTTTTGCATTATTTGAATCCTTTTCTCCCAGTTTTTCTTTTTCTGTACCTCTGAAAGAACACACAGTTTTATCAAATCAATGATAATTCTCCCTGAATGAACAAACTATTATCAAATCAATAATAATTCTCCCTGAATGAATAAACTCTTACAGATCTATCACAATTCTTTGACAGAACAAACTCTTACAGATCTATCACAATTCTTTGATAGAACAAACTCTTACTGATCTATCACAATTCTTTGATAGAACAAACATTTACCAGATCTATCACAATTCTTTGATAGAACAAACTCTTACAGATCTATCACAATTCAATAAGATAGAACAAACTCTTACAGATCTATCACAATTCAATAAGATAGAACAAACTCTTACAGATCTATCACAATTCAATAAGAGAGCAAACTCTTACTAGATATATCATTATTTTATAAGAAATATTTAACAGACACAATTAAGACAAATGTATTACTAAAACCACAAATAAAGGACACCTATATATAACATTACAATTCATATGTACTACTACACCAACCCAAAACCAAAAAAGAAAAAGACTATTTTATAAGAAACTATAGAAATCATCAAAGCTAACGATCTCTCATTAAGCCACGATAATGGTCCCAGCAACATAAACCGTATTTGGCAAGCTCTATTCACTACCCACACAATCACTGAGACTTGACCTTTAACTGTATCTGGTCACCTGCTGACATTATTTCTGCCTTACTTAATCCTTTTGTCTTCATAACGTTATATAAACTGTCAATAGCTTAGTATTAATCATATCTGAACAAGATAGGCCAGTGTTTTGTCGAAACATGTAGTATGTTTCACCGTGAATCAAAATTTTTCCTTATACTTATAATTCATTATATGCCTACCTATTGATGAACTCCCAAGAAGAAACTCAATAAATTTAAATCTAATAAATTTGAAATAAATGAACCTGTAGAATAGTTTAAAAAATTCATTAAAACCTTGTGATAGGTGAAGCACTCTATGGGTTTGTACACTTTGAATGTAAAACATTCTTCAATACATTGCCCTTGTATTTAATACTGATAACAACGTGAAATCTTAGCTGGCTACGGTTGATACATATGCAGTATGGAATGAAATGTCCTCCAACTGTAAATATCAGTGGTAACAAAGTGAGGCGTTACCTTGTTACATTGATAATTCTGATGAATTAAGAAAAGGGGAATGAATTAAGCTACCATTGTAATTATCAGTGGTAACAAAGTGAGGCTTTACCTTGCTACATTGATCCTCCTGATGAATTAAGAAAAGGGGAATGAATTAAGCTCCCACTGTAATTATCAGTGGTAACAAAGTGAGGCTTTACCTTGCTACATTGATCCTCCTGATGAATTAAGAAAAGGGGAATGAATTAAGCTACCATTGTAATTATCAGTGGTAACAAAGTGAGGCGTTACCTTGCTACATTGATAATTCTTATGAATTAAGCTCCCACTGTAATTATCAGTGATAACAAAGTGAGGCGTTACCTTGCTACATTGATAATTCTGATTAATTAAGAAAACAGGAATGAATTAAGCTCCCATTGTAATTATCAGTGGTAACAAAGTGAGGCATTACCTTACTACATTGATACATCTGATGAATTAAGGAAACAGGAATGAATTAAGGTTCCATTGTAAATATCAGTGTTATTTGGTTACATTGATGTATTAAGGAAAGACAGGAATTAACTATACTGTTGGAAATCCTTAAACAAAAGTAGATTTAGGTTAAAGATCAAACATAATACACATTTTTATATGATATGTAGATCTCTCATTATTTACAGATTTTAAGTACAACCACAGTTTAATTATCTACAGAGACAATTCTGTAATACACAGCTAAGTGATTGACGAATATAAAACTAAACTTTTTCAGCATAAAATTTGAGATAGAAGAAAATAACCATAATTCTTAATTTTGTACATTGTGTGAATTAAAAATATCTAGAAGTATTTACTGACCCTTAGCAGTATCTGAATCATCTGGGGAAAGTCTTATATGAATTAAAAATATCTATAAATATTTACCGGTCCTTAGCAGTATCTGAATCATCTGGGGAAAGTCTTCCATGAATTAAAAATATCTATAAATATTTACCGGTCCTTAGCAGTATCTGAATCATCTGGGGAAAGTCTTCCATGAATTAAAAATATCTATAAATATTTACCGGTCCTTAGTCAGTATCTGAATCATCTGGGGAAAGTCTCCCATGTATGAT